CATTTCTGACATTATGAAGAAGGGAAGCTCATTGAAGAAGTAGGCCGGGCCTGTGATGCCCTGGAGCCGAGATGACTGACCAATAACAGAAACCATCTTCCTTTGATCTAATTGAAACTTACAGAATATTGAATGGCCTGGACAGAGTGGATGCTGGGAAGATGCTTCCATTGATAGGAGAGACTAGGACCTGAGGGCACAGCCTTAGAGTAAAGGGAAGACCTTTTAGAATGGAGATAAGGAGAAACTTCTTCAACCAGAGAGTGGTGAATCTCTGGAATTCACTGCCACAGAAGGCTGTGGAGGCCAGGTCATCGAGTACATTTAAGACTGAGATAGATAGGTTCTTGATTATCAAGGGTCACAGGGAGAAAGCAGGAGAATGGGGTTGAGGAATTTATAAGCCATGATTGAATGCCGGAGCAGACTCGATGGGCCGAATGGCCTAATTTCTGCTCCTATGTCTTATGGTCTCATAGCATGGTAGAGTTTAGCATTCACTTTGACAGTGAGAAATTTGGATTGGAAACAACTATGCTAAACTTCAATAAATGTCATTACAAAGAAATGAGAGTAGAGTTTGTTGGAAAATTCTGGAAAAGGAGTTTAGCAGAAAAGACAGTTGATGAACAATGGCAGATATTTAAGATAATTGCTCATGGTGCAAAGATATACCCCAGAGAGGAAGAGGATAAGACAAATCATTGTTAACTAAGGAAGTTAAGGACAGTATCAAATTGAAAAAATAAACATATAATGTAGCAAAGATTAGTGGTAAGGCAGCAAATTTGGAAAGTTTTAGAAGTATCAAAAATTTAATAAAGAGTGAGAAAACAAACCGAAGGCAATCTTAACTACCACGTAAATTTACGCAACTAATATTAGGCAAAACAACATACCATCTTCACTGAAAAATTTTTCCACAGGTGCAACAAGTTGATTAATCTCTTCCAATTCTTCATTACTGATCTCTGGATAGGGAAAAACTTCTTTCTGAAAAAAAAAGCGTATAACCTGAGATTCTTTATAATACATAATCTTTTTTATTAACCAATTTAAACCAGTTTTTTCTCCCTCTTCAATTGTATCCCTTTCATTTCAGAGTCAGAAGACCAGCAGCTCAAAGAGTACATAATCCAGTATGACATTTCAGTGCAATGCTGTAGTGTTCACAACGTTAGTACAGCATTTGATGCAAACATGAGCTTTCAACCACATATTTAAACTATTACAAAGACTGGTTATTTCTAACTCTGAAACATTGGACAACATTGCCCTTGCTTCAGCTGACCTGCTGCTAAAACCTTCATCTAGATCATCGTTACCTCAGGACTGGACTGTCCCAATGCATTCCTTGTTGGCCTCTCCTCTTCCACCATCCATAAATTTAAAATAGTATTGCCTGTATTCTAACCCACAACAAGGCCGCATTCATTCATTACACATGCTTGCTGACCCGCACCAACTGTTAGATTAGCAAAGCCCCAGTTGGAAAACTCTCATTCTGGTATTCAAGGCCTTGCCTCTCCCTACACTACAGTCTCCTCAACAATCTTCAGATACCTGTGCTCTTCCAATTCCAGTGCCTCATAATTTCCCAGATTCTTGTCAAAGCAGTGACTTCAGTTGTTAAGACTTCAAGCATTGGAAATTCCCTGTCCAAACTTCCCCATTTGTGATACTCTTTTCCCTCCTTTAAGAAATTCTGTGAAATCTCAACCAGCAAGCACGAGGTAATCTTGAATCTCATGTGATTTATTATCATATCTTGTTTAATAAAGCTCTTGTGAAGCACTTTCCAATGTTTACTATGTTAAAGGTCAATATATAGCTGCCAGATCCCATAGTACTATCTTAAGAGCAGAAAAATACTTCTGGTTTCCTGGGCAATAGTTATCCCTCAACCAATATCCTTAAGATAGATGATATGGCCTTTAAGCTATTGTTATTTCCTTATGATACAGCTACTGCATTGATTTTGCAAATTGTTTGCCATTTCTTACATTGCAACAGTGACTACATTTCAAAACTACATCTTTGCCTGTGAAGCACTGTGTGATGTCCTGATATCAAACACACTTATGGGGCAGAATTTTTTGTAAGGGGGTACCTAGATTCTAGCCATGTCTTTTCAAAATGCAATAATGGATCTATAAGTTCTTGGATAGTTGGAACTGCCGATGCTGGAGAATCTGAGATAACAAGGTGCAGAGCTGGATGAACACAACAGGCCAAGCAGCATCAGAGGAGCAGGAAAGCTGATGTTTCGGGTCCCTTCTACAGAAATGAAGGGTCTGAAGAAGGGTCCAGACCTGAAACGTCAGCTTTCCTGCTCCCCTGATGCTGCTTGGCCTGCTGTGTTCATCCAGCTCTACACCTTGTTATCTTACATAAGTTCTTGGTTTCTCTTCACTTCCCATTTCTGTAAACAACAGAGAACCATTTGCAATTTTCCAATTCTGGGACACCGTTCATAAATCAAGTGTTCAAAGAACTGTCACAGTGAAGGTGACAGCAATTTAGCCCTTTGTATCTGCACCAGTTCTCTGAATTTGCAATTCAATCAGTGCCAGTTCTAAGGGATCAATGTCTTGTGGATTTTTTGGTTGAGACATTAAATGACATGGTAGATCAGGTGGATGTAAAAGTGTTTATGGCACTAAATCAAACCACAGGTGAGTTTCACAGTGTCCTGGTGAATATTTAATCCCTCATTCAACATCACAGAAAAAACTCAATATAATCACACTGCTTTTTTTTTGGGGTGGGGGTGTTTGCTATTTAGAAATTAGCTACAATGTGTCCTATATTACAAGAATGATTACACTTCAAAAACGGTACTTTATTGACTGTAAAGTGCTCAGACAACAATAGTCATAAGGAGTCTGATCTCAGACAGCAGTGGATACATTGCGATTTCAGGCCAAGTTAAACAGATTATTTCTTAACAAAGTCAAATGTTATGGAGTAGACAGAAAAGTAAAGTAAAACCATGATCAAATTAAATGAAGTAGGTTCAAGGGGCCCTAATTTGTATGCTTTGTATTTTCACATGCAATAACCCGCAAGTGGCTGACCAATGTCCAAGAACTCTGACCGGGTATTCAGATAATATAAACATACATAATCTTTAAAAAAAAAAACAACTACAATACTGACTCACTTCTGCATTATCCTCTACTCCTCTCATGAAGATATTAATTCACATTTTAACAGTCAGTGGCATTTATTCTACTACATATGTTTTTAAGAATGAAAAATACACAACTGAGTGAACCTAGGCATACTTATCACAATTTGGTAGAAATTCACCAGAAAACATTGTTACATGCCACACGTGTTGGGCTTAGCAATAATGCACCTCTTGTTTTTAAACAGGCTGTCCAAGAGACCTTGAAAGGTAAATTAACATCAAATGCCTGCATCAAACAACACAGCAACATCTTGCAACATGAATTCAATGAAGAGTCAATTTGACAAACAAACATGTGTTAGCTCACACACAAGAACATAACTGTTTCGACTCAGAATTGGAAGGACTGGGCACGAAACAGCCCGATTGCTAGGTCCCCACTCCATCCTCCTATCTCTTTTCCCTCTATCGTCTTCCGGACCCTCACCCTACCTTCTGCCCCAGGCCTTCTCCCCTTCTTCCCCTTCTTCCCCTCCTTCCCACAACCTTCTCCCAACCGTCTCCTAGTCCTTCTATTTTACCAGGGCCCTCTTCCCAGACCCTCCCCCACCCTCTTCTCATCTCTCACCTATCCTCTTCTCCCCTTACCTCCAAACCCTCTTCACCCCAACCCCGCCTCTGCCCTCCCCACCCAGAGCCCCGAAGCCTCCATGCACCGCAGCCCACTCTGCCTCCCAAGGCTCCCTGTAACCCCTCTCTTCAAACCCCCCACCCCTCACAGCCCCCCAACCCCTTCCCGGCCCTTTTCCTCCCCCTCCAAGCCCCTCCCCCCGGTCACAAACCTGGTTGATCTTCCCCAGAATCAGTTCCTTGGCATAAGCCAGGCTCCGGCCATCAGACCTGAAACCGCGGTGATGACAGCAGGTAGGAAGCAGCCTCCCGGTGCTACCATCCTCCCGTAAGCGCTTGCCCGAGGCCAACAGCAGGCGACAGGCGGACAGACGGGCCAACAACACTCCACTCGCTGCCGCAAACCGCTGCATGGCTGACCTCTGACCTCAGAGCCCGCGGGGATCCGAACGGCCTACGTCGCACGGTGCTGACGTCACAGAGGCCGGGGCCGCCCCGCTGGCGGCCACTAGGGGGCAGCCACCTTCCAACTGGGGACAACAAGGTGCAGGGGCAGCATCATAGGAGCAGCCCGAAACGTCAGCCTCTCTGCTCCTATGATGCTGCTTGACCTGCTGTGTTCATCCAGCCCTGCACCTTGTTGTCTCGGATTCTCCAGCATCTGCAGTTCCTACTGTCTCTGATCCAACTGGGGACCTTGTCCTTCAAGCCAAAAGGCATGTGGTTGGTTCAGTCTCAGTGAAAAAACAACCAACAAACCATCCTCTTCTTTTAGAGGGTCTTCACTTCAAAAACCTAAGGCAAAGGAAATTTACGAAATTATCTTGCCCAATAAGCACATAACAGTCGTGCAGGCCTCAAGCCATACACTGTCAGCCACCACAAATTCATTGCCCAGGGCCATCAGAAGACAGACAGAAGCACAGAGGAAAGTCAGGGACCAGATAACAACCTCCAGAAGGAACAGTGAACCTGCACCTGTAAGATCTTATCGCAGAAGGTTGATTTGAAGGTACAACAGGTAATTCAGAAGGCAAAGGGAATTTTGTCCTTCATTGCTACAGGGATTAAGTTTAAAAACAGGGAGGTTATGTTACAGCTGTATAGGGAGCTGGTGAGGCCGCACCTGCATAGTGCATGTAGTTTTGGTCTCCTTAGTTGAGAAGGGATATACTGGCACTGGAGTGGGTGCAGAGGAGATTCAGTAGGTCAGTTCTGGAGTTGAGAGGGTTGGCTTATGAGGAGAGACTAAGTAGACAAATTATTTTCATTAGAATTTAGAAGAATGAGGGGGGAATCTTATAGAAATATAAAATTATGAAGGGAATAGATAAGATTGAAGCAGGGAGGATGTTTTCAGTGGGAGGTGAAACTAGAACAGCAGGACATTAGGGGAGCAGATTTAGGACTGATTTGAGGAGGAACTTTTTCACCCAAAGGGTTGTGAAGCTATGGAATTCCCTGCCTTGTGAAGTAGTTGAGGCTTCCTCATTGAAAGCTAAGATAGATAAGATTTTGAATGGTAAAGGATTTACAGGTTATGGTGAGAGGGTGGATAAGTGCAGCTGAGGCCACAAAAAGATCAGCCATGATCTTATTGAATGGCAGAGCACGCTTGAAGGTCCACGTGACCTACTCTCCTGCTCCTGGTTCTTATGTTCATACGTTCTGGGACAAAAGTAGAAATTACTGGAAAAGCTCAGCAGGTCTGGCAGCATCCGTGGAGAGGGCTCAGAGTTAACATTTTGGGTCCAGTGACCCTTCCTCAGAACTGATGGTAGCTGGGAAAAAGTTGCTCTTTTATGCAGTAGATAGGGCAGGGGGCAGGGGAGTAGGGACTAAGCGATAGTTGGAAATAGAGCCCAAGGAAAAAGAAGAACAATTGGACAGTCTATAAGAGTGGATAGCGATTAGCCTAGGAGAATGGAGTCTATTAGTGGCTAAAGAGGCTGTAAGCGCCGGCTCTAGGTTAGGTACTCCTCCAAATTATTCTGCCTGACTTCAGATATTGATGCCAGACACACACACAAGTAAAATCAGTTAATACATTTATGACCCCTGTGACTACAAATGTTAGGAGTAAGATTTCTTCAAGATTGACAATGTATCTTTTACAACAATTGGGGCAGGACGGTGGCTCACTGGTTAGCACTGCTGCCTCACAGCACAAGGGACCTGCATCCAATTCCAGCCTCGGGTGACTGTCTGTGTGGAGTTTGCATATTCTCGCCATGTCTGTGTGGGTTTCCTCCCACAACCCAAAGATATGCAGGTTAGCTGGATTGGCCATGCAGGGTAACAGGGTGGGGGAGGGATGGGTCTGGGTGGGATGCTGTTTGGAAAGTTGGTGGGACTTTCACACTGTAGGGATTCTACGATAATGAGGATTCTGTGATGATAATTGGGTGAAACGAGACTAATTTCTTCATAAGTGGAAAATGTGAATGTGTCCATTTTGGCAGGAAGAACAAAAAAAGGCATGAAATTGAAATGCTGAGAGATTGCAAAGTTCTGTAGTTGTGTGGGATTTGTGTGTCCTTGTTCATGAGTCGCAAAAGGTTACTGTGTGCATAAAGAAAGTAATTAGGAAAGCTAACAGAGTATTGTTACTTATTGCAAACGGTATTGGATAGAAAGTGTGGAGATTATGCTTTAGTAATACAGGGCACCAGTAAGACTACATCTGGAGTACTGTGTACGGTATTGGTCACCTTACTCAGGAAGGATATAAAGGCATTGGAGGCAGTTCAGACAAGGTTTACAGACTAGGAATGGGTGGATTGTCAAGTGAGGAAAGGTTGGACAGCTTAGGCTTGTATCCAGTAGAGGCAATTTGATTGAAATATATAAGATCTTGAAGGGTCTTGCCGCGGTACATGCGGAGAGGAGGTTTCTCCTTATGCGAGTATCTAGAACTTGGAATCGCCCTTTAAAAGTCAGGGGTTGTCAATTTAAAACAGAAATGAGACAAAAAGCAAATGTTCTCAAAAGATTGAAAAGCAAAGTTTTTGAATAGTTGGAGGGAGAGCTGGACTTTTGTTAAGCAAAGCGGTAAAGGGTTATTTGGGATAGGCAAGAATGTGCAGATGGTATTAGTGAACAGCGGAGCAAGCTCAAGGTGGTGAATGGCTTAATGGCCTACTTTTATTCCTGATTGTTGCTGTTGTAACAAGCTCCGTTCACGATTTAAAATCCTATTGATTTTAAAAGCTTAAAAAGTTTACTTTTTGGGGAAAAAAAAGTACAAGCAAAACGTTGCTTGTAATGTAATGGGGCCTCCAGCAACAGGTGTCAAAAGTAAGGAATTGCAATAACCAAAGGAGACAAGTGGTCCTGCTCTGAGGAAAGCGATTCAGGAAAGAGGCTTCATGGAGAAAGAGGTAGCAGCCAAAGGATTTCCTCACCAAACATAAACTACAAGCTTAGTTCTATGTAAATACTCTGCTTTCCTAGTTTAACCTTAATTTCCCCTCATGTTCATAATAATCTGATGCTACTTTATGATCTTCAGGTTGTCTGTCTGCTTAAATGATGACAATATTAGGTGTTGTGACCTGACAACTATCGAGATTGTGACTAATGATGGCTGTGCAATAAACATTCCTTGCCATCAGATCCCACAACAACAGTAGAGGGAAGTTTGGGACTGCCTGCCAAAGTATTTGGAGTGATTTTGATTTGGCGTTTTCTTAAAAAAAAATTAGAAATGAGAGCAGAATTAAATAATAAAGCCATTCAAGCCTGTTCTGCCATTTAACAATATCATGGCTGACTTTCTACCACAGCTTCACTTTCTCATGCTATCCCCACATTCCTCGATTCCCTTAGTATCCAAAAATCTATCAACCTTTGACTAAGATACACTCAATGACTGAGTAACCTCAAAACTTCAAAGATTTATGACCCTCTAACTGATAATAAAAAGTTCTCTACATCTCGATCCCAAATGTGCAATCTCTGTTCTGAGACTGTGGCCCCCAGTTCCAGATTTTTTTCTCAAAATATACTTTATTCATAAAATTTTTTACATGACCAAAGTTGACATTAAACAAGGTACTAAATTGTTTTCTTCCAATATCACTAAAAATTGCAGTTAATATTTGAAAGATTCATTATGTCAGACATACAAGCAAAGGGGTTTTTACCCAGGATCCAGTCCCTTTCTGAACCCTAGTTGAAAAACTTTAGACAGTGATCTTTTCCATTGGGCCAGCTGCCCCAATTTTTAGACATCCCTCAGCGCATAGTTCTGGGCTATGAATTCTGATCTAATATACTTCTGGCTCTAAAGACTTCAGTTGTTTTGTGCTCAGCAAAGTGCAGATGTGACCATATTGTAATTCTGTTAAATAAAAAAAACTACAACTGCTGGAACAGAAGGTTCTGAAGAAGGGTAACTGGACCTGAAACGTTAACGCTGATTTCTCTCCACAGATGTTGCCAGACCCGCTGAATTTTTCCAGCAATTTCTGTTTTTGTTTGTAATTCAGTTAGTTGCTATCACCCCAAGTCTATAGAAATGAACAGATCTCCTGTAAGGTAAGATAAACTGTAATAAAAAGAGAAGCTGTGCCGGTCACAGCCTGGTTAGCAATTTGGTTTCAGAGCAAAGCAGACAATCTGATACATTCTCAAACTCCCGGTGCAGACTGTGTAGGAATGAACAGACCATTCAAATGACAAAGCAACAACTATCAGCATTTCTGGATTCTCCAGACTACAGTGGTCCAATTGAGAAGCTAACTTCCTCTTGTGCAATGTTACCATGCGCCAACTTCATAAATTACTTCCTCATATGATCTGAATATCCACGCGTGGTAAATGGATATCTGACTTATCAACAGTTACAAACAGCCCCATTAGGGAAAATATACTTGAAGCCATTATGTTCTGTCTTTATCAATGATGGGAATAATCAATAATAATGTTCTTCTTTCTGATGTACAACTTCACTCCCTTATTAATTCATCATTTTAAAAAAACAGACAATCGAGAGATCTCTCAGCGTAAATGAAAAATGAATTCTGGGTGGAGAATTATTACCCCCAAGGACTACTTCACAGCCACATTGAGAAAGATTAAATTCTGCTTCAGGACCTGTCGAAGCTCAGATTCAAGCAAGGATTGAGGGAGAGATGTGGGGAAACTGGATTAGTTGATAAAGGTTAGTGGTCAAACCCAAATCACATTTCAACACCTTTGGGAAAGTTGAGTTGAGCACACAAACTAAAACATAGGAGTATGATGTCATTGTTAACAGAGGGGCAGGAGTGGCAGCTCAATATTCCACGATAGAGGGTCTTCAGTTGAGACAAGGAAGGAGGTAAAAGAGGAGGTGTTGCATATTGATCAAGCAATCAATTGTAGCAGGAATGAGTGTAATATCTTTGAAGGCTCCTTAAATGAAGCCATATGTGGCAAACCTTAAAAAAAACAGAGCAATCACATTGCTGGGTGTGTACAATAGGCCCCCTAATAGTCAGAGAGAAGTAGAACAGCAGATATAGGCACACTTCAGAAAAGTATAAAAGTACAACGGAACGATAGGAGATTTCAACTACCCCAACATTAACTGGGGCAGCATGATGGCCCAGTGGTTAGCACTACTACCCCACGGATCCGGGTTCGATCCCAGGCTCTGGCGACTGTCTGTGTGGAGTTTGCATGTTCTCCCCGTGCCTGTTTGGGTTTCCACCCAAAGATGTGTAGATTAGGTGGGTTGGCCATGTTAAATTGCCCATAATGTCCAGAGATGTGCAGGCTAAGTGAGTTAGCGTAGGGATGGGTCTGGATTGGATGCTCTTTGGAGGGTTGGTGTGGACTCAATTGGCCAAATGGCTTACTTTCACACTGCAAGTATTCTAGTCAGTGTGGAAGTGCAGAATTCTTAAAATCCATCCAGGATAGCTTCTGAGACAGTACGTAGATGGCCCCTCCAAGATGCAGTGACAAAGCTGGGTAAGTGGATAAAATATTATTGGGTAAGCATGTTGCAGACAGCGATCATAACTATGTTAGATTCAAGATTTTTATGGGGAAGGACAAGGATGGGCTTGAAGTTAGAGTTCTCAACTGGGGGGTGCAAATTTTAATAAGACCAGGTATGATTTGGTCAGAGTAGAGTGGGGCAGATACTTTCAGGTAAATGTCTGTCAGTGGGATACATTCCAGTAGGAAATAGGGAGAGTACAGGACCAACATGTGCCAATAAAGACAAAGAGTGGGACCAACAATTCCAGCAAATCCTATATATCAAGTGATAAAGAGAAAAAGGGAGGCTTATGGTAGATACTGAGGTCTCAGAAAAGCAGAAGCCGTGGGGAGTTCAGAACGTGCAAGGTGAAACTTAAAACAGGACAGCAAAAGCAAAAGGAGGGTATGAAGTAACGGCAGGTAAAGTTATTTTACAAGTACATTAAGGGTAAAAAGAACTAGGGAAAGACGAGGTCCACAATGGTAATTTGTGCATGGGGCCAAAGGACGGATTGGATTTAGAAATCAGGGAAGCATAGACAGAGAGGGGGTTCTGAATGGTCTGGCATACTTAAAAGTAAATAGATCTCCAGGGCCAGCTGAAATGTATCCCAGGCTGTTCAGTGAAGCAAGGAAGGAAATAGAAGGGGCACTGGTAATAATTTTCAGTTCCTCTCATTTGTGGTATCATTATTCAAAAATGGAGCAAGAGATAAACTTGGCAGGCCTGGCAGAACTGATGTAGAGTCACTGGACTCTAAGCATTAACTCAGTTTTCTCTCCACAGATGCTGCCAGATCACTGCAATTTCTGTTCTGGTTTTAGATCTCCAACATCTGCAGTTCTTTGTTTTATTTTAGTGATGGTTGAGGGAAGCCTGTTGGGTTTTGCAGGGATCAGTGTTGGGGCCCTTGCTGTTTGTGGCATATAAAAATGGTTGAGATTCAAATGTAAGAAGGTTGATCAGTACATTCATGGATAATATGAAAATTGGTGGGGTGGTAAAATAGTGAGGACGACAGTCTTCAATTACAGGAGGATATGGATGGGCCAATGAGTAGCAAATGGAGTTCAATCTGGATAAGTGAGGTCATGCCCTTAGGCAGGGCAATACAGGATGAATGGTGGGACCCCGAGAAGCCCGAGTATCAGACGAGCCTTGCTGTGCATATGCACCAGTCATTTGAACGTATTGGGAGAGGTAGATAAAGTGATTAACAAGACATATGGAATTCATGCCTTTATTAGCCAAAGCAGAGAGTTTACGCTGGAACTGTATAAAAAGTTGATTAAACCACAGCTGGAGTACTGTGCAATTCTGGAATCCACATTATAGGATGGATGTGATTGCACTGGAGAGTGCAGAGATTTACCAGGATGTTGCATGGGCTGGAGTGTTTTACTTATGAAGAGAGATTAGGTAGACTGGGGTTATTTTACTTGGAGCAAAGAGCATAGTGGGGAAGGAGGCGGGGGTGGGGACATCATTCAGATGCACAAGACAGAGTATTGACAGAGTAGATAGAAATGAACATTTTGCCTTGGTAGACGATCAGGGACCTGCGGACATAGGTTTACGGTAAGAGTTGGGAGGCTTAGAAGAGATAGGGAGATAATTTTCTTCAGGGGCTGGTGGGAATCTGGAACTCTGCCAATGAAGGTGGTAGAGGCAGAAACGCCTCATAACATCTAAGTAATATTTAGATATGCACTTGCACTGCAAAGGCATATGGGTCAAACGCTGGAAAATGGGATTAAAATAGTTAGGTGGTTGGTTTGACCTCAATGGGTCAAAGGGTCTTTTTCCTTGCCCTAGACCTCTATGACTTTAGTTTTAAAAAAAACAGATTGTAAGAACCTGCACAACTTGTAAAGAGGAACAGCATTGAAAAAAGTGAAGATGGAGGCTGAGATAGGAGAAATTATCATGGGAATGGTAGAGATACAAAATAAATAAATATTTTAAGTTTTCTTCACAGCAGAAGACAAAAAAAAACTGTGAATCAACAGTCTAGTTAGAACAAGGAATTTAATTATATCAGTAACGCAAAAGGTATTGGAGAAATTTATGGAACCGAACACCAACAAATCTCTTGATGCCCAAATCCTAGGAATCAAAAAAAAGTCTGACGTAATAAGTGCATTAGCTGTGATCTTTCAAAATTGCTTAGTTCTGTAAAAGAATAGCAAATGTAGTGCATCTATTCAAGAATGAAGAGAGAGAAAATTGGAAACCACAAGTCAGTTAGTCTGATATCTCTCAATATATTAAGGATATAATGTAGAAAATTGATTAGGCAGAATCAACATGGTTTAATTTAAAAAATCATGTTTGACAAATCTATTAGAAATCTTTGAGAATTTAACTGGAAGGGTAAATGAAAGGAAAACAATGGAAGTGGTATATTTGAATTTTCAAAAGCTGTTTAATAAGGTGCTACATTGAAAGGTATTATTGCACATGCTAAAGGTTTTGGAGATGATTTTAGCATGGATATAGGATACTCAGGATGGTAATCAGGGAGTAAGGGTAAAAACATTATTTGTTAGCTATATTTATGACATAGTTGAAGGCACAAAGTGTAACATGTTAATTTGTCTGACATAATGCTGTGTATAATTTTGGTCTCCTTATCCAAGGAAGGATGTACATTACTTGTCTTAGAGGAAGATCACCAGAGTGATTTGTGGAATGATGGGGTTGACCTATGCAGAGATCAAATCGGAAGAACTTAAATCTCTTCAGATTTAGAAGAATGAGAATTGATCCAATTAAATCATGTAAAATTCTGAGGGGGCTTGACAGGGTAGATGCTGAGAGCCTGTGAAAAAGAGGGAACGTCATATCAGGATAAAGAAATTGCCTTTTTGGACTGAGATGAGAATTTCTTTCATTTAAGGAGATTGCAAATCTTTGGAATTTTCTACCCCAGGGGCTGAGGTTGCTTAGTTTTGAGCATATGCAAGGCAGAAATCAATGGATTTTGGACTCCAGGGGATATGGAAAGTGGAATTTAGATCAAGGATCAGCCATGCTCATTAAATTACAGGGCAGGCTTGATGTGCCATATGGTCCACTCCTGTGCCAGTCCTCAAGAGTAAAGAGCATAAGACTGTTCAATGTTTATTAAAACATTTAACCTCGGTTTTTAAATCATCCTACTTGATGTCAGCAATGGTGCCACAGGTCTGAAGTTATCATGAATAGGCAGATAATGCAGGCACGGTGAGTCATAATGAGCATTAAAGCACAGATGTTCTCTGAATCAGCCTAAAAGGCAGAATTGAAAAATTTGAAAGCTGAAGAGCGTGAAGTTTCAATAGCAATGTTTGCAATGACATGATCCAAGATGATGCCAACATCAGAAGATCTAACTCTAACATTTCTTATAACTGTTCTACACTTTTAAACTTACATTCTAAATTTGTAAAAATTATTAATGATGTTCTTTTACGTTGATCTCGCCTAGCGCACACCCTGTGCAACGTAACCTGTATGCCTCTGCCAAAGACACTTTGATCTGTACATCCTTGCTTACTATGATCTGCCTGTACTGCTCAGAAACAAATCTTTTCACTGCACATCATGACAATAAAATCAATCATGCAATTGTTTTCAACTTTTGACTATGTACACCTTTCATGTTTTCTGACAGACCAGTAGGGGATTCTCCCTTATCCACAGCGAGCTCCTCACAGGTAGGTAGATATATCTCTTCAGTTTTAAATCATCTTCATTGTAGATATAAATCTGAATATAATTAAAATGTTTGGTTGCTCTACCTGGGAATTTACACCACACAATATTTCAGAAAAATATAAAATGACTGAACAAAAAATGTGGTGTTGTATTAATACATGGCAAGGTCATGCCACATACTTGGTGTCATAATTGAGCAACGTATCAATTGTATGTCAATCAAGCACGATACTTCACCTATTTCTCTTCGCCAAGACCTGAAACAGCAGATCTATTTGAATTTGTTTTAATGTTAATCTCAGAATGTATGCTTTGGATTCAAGGGGAGCATTTATTGGCCATTTCTGAGAAACTGGCTTGCCAGGTCACTCAAGAATAGCCTTGAGTCAACCATTTTGAGGGATGTCACAGGTCAGACAACTGCTGACCTTACTTCAAAAGAATCTAATAAACTAACTTTTTGTTTTAAAGAAAAAGAAACTAACAACTTTTCTACTAATGTACAAGTTTCTTATTTCCAGTGTTCATAAAACTGATTTCACATACTCAAACTGCCATGTTGGGATTTGAGCTCATTCTCTGTAATGTAACCACTGTACCACATATCAAATGATGACCAAATGTTAAACAGATTAACTAGGACTCCACTAGAAAGCTGTGTATATCAAATTTTCATTTCACGTTTTGCCTTTCCTCTGACAAAATGCCAGAGTAACAAGTGACTTACATTTTGCTTTGCATCTTTGACTCCATTTTAAAATCATAAGACACTTGTACAAATTTCATTAGGTAGCAGTTTTAATGCAATGAACACAATTTCCACATATAATTTTACTGCCATATATTTCTTATTTCAAATGAATTATTTAGATTTCTTTCAACAAGTTCAGACTTCTACCTGATTTTTTTGGTTAATTCTATTTGTCTTTCTTGTAGTTTCACACATGCAATGTACTCAACCTTTCTTAAATATGATATTAGGTGTTAATGTAAAGTATGTGATATGAACAGATGTTTGGATAGGAGATTGTTACACCTCAGCCCACAGTTGTTACTTCAAGATTAACATATCATTATGATTTTCCAAGTTTCAGATTAAACCTTGAAAAAAATTAAAAGCCTTCCTTCCAAAATATTACCATATATTAAATAATTTTGGTTGCAGCATGCATTACAAATGGAACATTTGGTTAGTATGGATTACATGTCTTCTTCATAATTGGTGGCATTTCAATTGCATTTATTTCCCTCGAGCCTGAACAATTTGGGTAATCAAGTGCAAATCTGAGAAAATGTCTGCAGTAAAGAGGTGGCTCAGTACATCAAACAGACTGTTCCCATTCTGCTTTCTTTTAATGCGTGATCTGTAAGAAAAAAGGATGAAAAATCTGCAGCACTGCCAACGTACATCCACTTTAAGTTGAGTAGGAACATGCCAGGAATAGTTAAAAATTATACCAGGGCCCAGCCTATGTTTAGTAAACACGAATGACAGGATTGGACAGTGGGAATAGTAAATTTACTGGAGTTCCCATGGCTTTGGCTTCCCATTGGCTGGCACATCAATCTAACAAGGTCATCAGTTGGATCCACTTGCTTCATCAAAGTTTGTCCCATTGGGCAGTGGAATATGGTCTTTTAATACACCCCACTTGCACCCAGTGCATTAAACTACTAATCAGCTTTCAGGGCAGGTGCATACTCATTGTTTCCATTGCAATTAAGGAAATATTTGCAGTGCTCATTATATACATCTTCAGTTGACACCCCACACACCTCAGATTTTATGCCTGAGCTTGTTACATTAATCACCAGTACAGAACTTGTGATATTGCACAAGACTCAGTTTAGGCCTAGAGTTATTCACAACAGCATAGTATTGATTCACAGATTTATTCGCAACTTGGATAAGCTGTAATTTAATTCAGTTAAACATCAAGATCAAAGCCATGATAATTAAAAGTATGTCTGCCCATGACTTTGTGTCACCTGCTACAAATTTTGAGTCCAAACCACTGACTGTGGTTAATATCAAAAAAAAACTCCAAGCTGCGTGAACAGATGCTAACAGACACTAAGAATGCTAGAGAAACTCAGCAGGTCTGGTGGCATCTGTACAGAAAGAAACAGAGTTAACTTTTCAAGTCCAGTATGACAGCACGGTGGTTCAGTGATTAGCACTGCTGCCCCATAGCACCAAGGACCTGTGTTCGATTCCACCCTTGGGCAACTGTTTGTGTGGAGTTTACACATTCTCCTAGTGTCTTTGTGGGTTTCCTCCAGGTGCTCTGATTTCTTCCCACAGTCCAAAGATGTGCAGATGGATTAGCCATGGGAAATACAGGGATGTGGTGGGTCTGGGTGGAATGCTGTTCGGAGGGTTGGTGTGGATTCGATGGGCCAAATTGCCTGCTTCTACACTGTAGAGATTCCGTGATTCTTCTTCAGAACTGATGCTAATGTGGCTTTATAACTTACACCTTATGATCTGTTAACCAAAACAGCCCAAGTTATTTTTAAACTCACACTGATTCTAAAAGCCTGTTTCATGTTAACAGAGCTGAAAAGTTTCAAATACTTTAGAGTACACAGTTCTTCTCTACAAATCAAGAGCACTGACATTTATTCTATTAATTCGTGATTCCCACACTATGGATCAGACAAAATGAGATTTATTTGAATTCAACACTAATTTCAAATGGCCCTACTGAGTTGCGGTTCCCTTCCCATGTGAATCAATCTCCGTCCATGCCACTTCACCAAAAACTGGGACAATTGGAAATGGGAGTGGGACCTGTGTGTCAAGGTCTCACTTGACATTTTTAAATGGTCTTCAGAGTCGTCAATACTTTGCAAAATTCTGGCACCATTACTCAAAGGGCTGTACATATTAGAATAATTAAAATAACCAGTTAGCAAAATCATAGAATCCCTAGTGTGCAAACAGGTTCTTTGGCCCAACAAGTCCACACTGACCCTCGGAGCATCCCACCCAGACCCATTCCCCCTATAACCCACCTAATCTACACATCCCTGAACACTATGGGCAATTTAGCATGGCCAATCCACCTAGCCTGCACATCTTTGGACTGTGGGACGAAACCAGAGCACCTGGAGGAAACCCATGCAGACACTGGGAGAATGTGCAAACTCCACACAAACAGTCGCCCAAAGGTGGGATCGAACCCAGGTTCCTGGTGCTGTGAGGCAGCAGTGCTAACCACTGAGTCAAGTATACAGCAGTGATATTTTATAACAATTCCAAATTGTGCAAAAATTATGTTTCAGATGTAAGAATTACAGTTTGAAAACAAGCAACTTAAAATATTGCGTTTTTCAAAATTTCAGTGAAACCACTAAATAAAAAAAAGACAGAAGTTTAGTCTTGTATGGTTTATTTTGCGTTCTCCACATTATCACAGTCATAGTTTGACATGGATAGGGCTGTATACTACTTACAATTATAATGCATAATAAAATGAAAGCACTTCCCTCTCCTCCCATACATACAAAATGGATCATGAGCCTTGGAGAACAATTACAATGCATGAATAGTTGAAAGCATCTGAAAATTAACAGTCTGTTTTCAAGTACTCATCACTTGAAAGAAGCAAACAATTTGGTATGGGCTGCCACAGATGTATAACAGATCTAAGCATTATGGTAGATTAGGAACAGAAGGAATGCAACCCCAAATGCTTGGGTAGATTTGTTGTACTAATTTACACACTATGTACAAATAAAGGATTGCCGATTCATTAGCCCCACCTCCTGTTTAACTTCCTACTCCTCTCCCCATTTCTCCCCTTGAGATATGACATTCCGTTCCAAGTATGTACACAATTGCTTCTTTATAGTTGCAGGCAGAATGGCATTGCCAAATGATATTGTACAATGAGTACAAACCTAAATGCATGCTGGATTGTAGCAACACAGCTTTTACATGAGACAGTAACATCAAGATTTTCACTTTGTATTGGGTGACTTTCATTCAGTTTGTTGTTACAAGAAACAAGCAGCTACTGCAGCATGCAGTGCACGATGGGGAAAAGATCTGACATCAGATGATTGCATTTTTTTGTTTTTTTTAAAAGCAATACAATACTTGTACACTAATATTAAAGTGATCTTATCCAAAAATTACATTGTCATACATTTAATTCATAACTTAAAAAAAACAAATACAAATACATATTATTTGATTCATTCCAGAAAAGATCAGGTCGACAAGATAAAGTGGGTGAATTACAGACCACAGTGTATTCCTCTTGATCTGGCATTATCTGGTAGAAATTATTTGCAATAAGCCAAACATGTATGCTCAAGACCCAACATCTTGATGAAAGTACACAGTCTAAATGCCATGTGTTTGAACTTGTTTACCCATCAGCACTCACAAAACATGCAGAGCTAAACATTAACTTGGACAAACTGATTATACAGGTGCTTAAGCAGTGAAATAAAAAGAATCCACACTATTCCCAATTTAATACATTTTTATTTACAATGAAAATCTGTGATAATTTCAAACAATTTATGCACAGTATATGTAATAGACAAAAGTCTTCCAGAAGGAGCTATTGTGCAGTTTATATAGGTCCTGGACCTCGAAGCTAACCCTTCTCACCACCACTATCATCTTGAATGGCAACCAGATCTTTTTTGGAACAGGTTTGGGATTACAATTGGACTTAAGAGGTATGAAGAAACAGTCTAAATATTTGAATAGGAGATCACCTTACCTAATGTCAACACTGAAATTTTGCAAATGTACAGTATGTAGAGTGTAGCCTCACCACATTAACATTAAATGTCATGCAAGATAGCCTGTTTCACTGAGAGCGCTTTGTTCTTTATACTGCAAGGAATACAATCTCAGAAATCAGTCTGATTCCAAGAGATAAGACTTCACAATCCATGATGTTCAAGAATGATTAAATTAATAAACCTGACATTTATTCTCACTTCAGTACATAATAAGAAAATATTGCACAAAAAA